TTGATCTTCGGCTGACCAATCAGCAGAAAGGGGTGTTTAATTCCCGCCCACGTGTAGAAATCGAATATTCAAGCTGTTTATTCATTTTTCTACTCCTGAGCGAAAAAAGAAAATTTAAGCTGAATTCTCGTTTAAAGGAGCCGTTTTCTCATTTTTCCACTTTCAATATTAAATCAAAAAACGAATGATCGAATGATACACGGATTTACCGATTGTACACGGACCCTGCTGCGTTACTGACGAATCAGAGATTACTTTGAATTTGTGTTTCATGGTGAAAAACCCAACCCCATATAAAAAAAAAATAAATAAAAAAATACAAAAAAAAATTTAATTTTCATTTTCCATTTCTTAAATAGAACAAAACACAAAAATCAAATGACCAGAAAGTACACAGACTTACTTGAAAGAAAATAAATACTTGTTTTTCTTACTTTTTTCATTTTTCGCATTTTATTTTCAGTATTATATAGAAAATCTTATAATAATACATTTATTTTATCAACTTATAACCCCGTGCATCCTAGGAGAAACATTCAAGCAATATTTTAAATAAAATAACCTTTTAGGAACACTATTTCTATGCTGCTGCCATTCTAAGGATTAAATCCACACACTCACCACTAGGGTCAATACTCTGAGCTCTGGCCAGTACGACTCAGATTCCACTTGTTCAGCGAGGCTGTCTTTCCCATCCAACTGTTCCCCCAATTTCCACTGGACAAAGCCACCGTACAAACTCCTGCATGCACTGCCAGAGCCCTGTCGCGCCACTGCAGACAACTGCTCGCTCTCCACACCGAACAACTGTGACAGAGTATACACTAAAACAAACCAAATTTTCACATCATCATCATTAGGAGAACAGGATGTCATACTAGTACATGTACCATTGCAATCAAAATCATTCAACCTCCAGAGACTGTAATAATTTACAAATGTTACTGAACATCTATTTATTTATGTAGCATCTACAACCATTTAGTGGCATGTTAAAAGTGATAATGTCATTAAATAACTTAACATTTTTTAGTTAATGGATTTTATCTTTTAAAATAAAAAATAAAAAAAAGAAAAAGAAGAAAAAAAAGGAGTGCATGCATGTGCTAAAGTTGAGGAAAACCTTTGAGGGCGCTGGAAGAATGTTTTATGGAGTGATGCGACCAAACGGGAACTTTTTGGACCCATGGATCAGCGGTATGTCTGGTGCATAAAAGGCAAGGCTTACGAACAGAAGAACACCATCTCCATGGTCAAACATGGATGTGGGCCAATATTGTTATTGAGGTGCTTTGCTGTTGCAGAAAGTGGACATCTTGACTATATAAAGGACATCATAGATTCTTTGAAATACCAGGCCATTTTGGCAAAGACTGAAATACATTCGGTGCATAGATTAACGCCGATGATCATTGGACTTTCCAGCAGGGCAACCATCCTAAAGTTTATATGCAAATCTACTGTTTGATTCAAAACGTTTGGTTCAGAGTTCAGTCGTAGAAAGTTTATAAGTGCCCTGTTCAGTCTCCAGATTTAAATCTCATTAAAAATATTTATTTATTTTTATTAATTATTATATTTGATTAATTTGAAGAAAGCAGTGGCAACATGAAAACCAAAGATGATCAATGATCTGGAAGCTTTTTCAAGTGAGGAACAGGCCAAGATTCCAGTAGAAAGGTGTCAGAAATTTGTAAGCACTTAAAGGTAACATTTATTGGAGGTTATAGAATAAAAGATTATTTACAAATTTTGGCTTTTAGGGGTTGAAAAATTTAATAATTAGAAATTATTATAATAAATAATAATTACAGCTTATTTAATTTTTCATCAACTTTAAGCTTTCAGAATCACTCAAATGTGTATTAAAAACTTTCTATAATAGTTTACTGCTTATGGGGTTAGAATTGTTGCATATTTCCAGATAAACAGATTTTGAGCCACAAATAAATGCAAACAAGTTCACAAATCTTGAACAAATTCACAAATAAAAAGAATGAGATCCACATACAGGAGTTTCACAAAAATGAATTAAATTGATGATTAGACAAGCCTTTGAACGCATTTCAATAACGTTCTAACAATTTATTATTAATACATGTTAAAAAAGATGTACTTTTTTTTCATCCCAAAGTCTTTTAAAATCATTCACCAATATTTAAATCCAATATTTTTCAAATCAGTTTATTTGTTTTATGTTCCACTTATGTTTTGTAAGTACTGTAAATGCCAACAATCATGCCAATAAAGCTTTGATTCTTTATGAATGTATTTCTGTAGGCCTATGCCAGCAATAAATGAACTGACTTTACCGTATAGGAATTTACCATATTAGGCTATAATATTTCTATGGCTAATTCTAAACATATAATTAGTGGAATGACAATACAGAATGTTAAATAGGTAAAGAGATACATAAAATGAAAGTAGAAAATAAAGCAAATCTCATTTTTATTTGTTTGTAACATTTTTAAACAGGCAAATTTTTGTGAAACTCCTATATACTTGTGGATCTCATTTGTGAATTTGTTTAATAATTATAAATCTCTTTACATTTATTTGTGGCTCAAAATATATTTATCTGGAATTATGCAACAGTTCTAACCCCATAGCTGATGCCTTGGTTGAACCATTTTCATAAAGTTTTGTTCACGGCTGCAGAATGTCTTGCAGGTTGAGGGGGTTGAACAATTTTGATTGCAACTGTATATGCAGTTTGTTTTCACTCACCCAGACAGGCGTAGCCTGATGCAGAGGATGCCAGGCCAGCAGCAGTGGGAAAATTATTCACAGAGCAAATATGGACCTTATGGGACACACCGCTGACATCAGAAGTGGAATCACCAGTATTTCGTCTCTTGCGAGAAAACCTTCGAACTGGTGAATTTAAATTAGATTGACATCACAATGATAGCTCCTGACACACGGTTTAACTTATTTTAATGTTCTGAAAGCCAGGGACATACTTTCCTGCAGACATGACTGCAACCTGGGGTTGCTGATATCCTCTTCTTTGCCATTCAACCAGATGCGGTCTTGCTGGAAATTTCTGCTGCATGCAACTGTTGTGGTTGTTTTGAGCTGAGAAAGAGAGTTATAGTATATAATGGTACCCTCACTGTTTGAGCTAATAATTTGGAGCTCTTTAAATGAATTGAGGTACAGTGACAGATGCTGACAGTGTTAATAATATGGGTACTATCATTCACCTGGTCCTGATGCAGTGTTACGCTGAGGGATGAATTGATTGGCAGAATGAGATCTTCATCACGCTTCCCCCCTGATTGAATATCAATAATAACTCAACAAAACACATGAAAACATAAGCAGAACATGTTCAATGTTATTTCTTATTCATTTTCATTGCAAATGTTATTTTAATCAAATTAATATTTACAGAAAGTGTAGACAGTTTCCCCAAAACATATGTGGTCACTTAATTCACACTAACAAATGTGTGACTGTCACTGCATTTTATAAAGTGTCTTTTTTCCTCTTCACTAAAGTGTACAATAAGTACAATAAGAAGACACTTAAAACTTTCTCAAGACAAAAATAATGATCATCTTACATCAAAATAATCACAACCGAATGCTACTGTTACGAACCTTGAGAGATTATATGTACGTTTAAAGTACATGCACACTTACAGTATTTGATGACAGCGATATTTACCGGTGCCGTGCAGGTGACCATAGAGAGACTTTGTTTATCGTTTTCTGGCATATTCATAAGTTCATAAAAGTCTACACGCAGATAATTTAACAAAAGTGAATGATTATTTACAAGTACAACTTGCAATGGTTACCAGCTTTTGTTTAACAGCGTGAAACACAGTGTGAAAGCAAATGAAACACAGCCTTGCGTTTGGATTGGTTCACGCTGAACACGTGGATCCGTATTTGACCAATTAGAGAGATCACCGTATAACCCTATATTAAAGTGACCCAATCATTGGCGTCGGACCATGGTCTTACCAGAACTAGAGATGGCCTTATTATTGGAAGATACCAACCTCCGCGGCTACACCATTGGAGAAAACGTAACAGCCAGCTTGGATCATGTGTGCTTTGATAACCAAACACCGTGGGTGTTTCTAAAATGGATGCTTCCTCGTTTCCTAGCCTCACTTTTTCCTCCGTCCTCCTGCCCGTAACCCGGAAATCTATCGAAACTAGCCATATTAAAGGACATCTCAAATTGTTTTCATAGTAATGCATTTAAAAAGTATCTGTGCTATTCGTATCTTTATAAAAGTTAACAATGTTGTTACAGATAAAATATTATTAATAACTCCACGTCTCTACGGCGAATTCCAAATGGATTTGTGTGCCCTCGAAGGGCATTTCGGAAAGGGGACGCCATTTGTAGGGACGTTCCAAACGAAAGTGAACTGAACCCTTCCAGAAGTCCGTTAGCGAATGGAACATGCGATCATAGACATATAAAATATGTATGTATGTCTATTCATGCGATGGTCACTTCACGGAATGATTTCCGTTTGTGATCATGTGATCTTCGGATAGTAGATCTTGCGATGCTTTTAAAAGCAAAGTTGGGGTTGATTGCCACTTCATGTTCACATACAAACGTAAGTAGAATAGGCTAATTATATTTGTATATTTTAATGTAATACAAAATAGTTTTCGTCAGTGATATAAATATGACTTGAGACTGTAGTGTAAGCAAGTTTAGTTTGAAAAAGTTTAATAGTAAATATGACACAATTAGACAATATTCGAATAAAATAATAATAAGAAGAAATAATTATTTGCAACAACTGATGAAGTGCTGAATGCTGCACGCACGCGCAGCGTTGTCAGGGTAACGTTTGGTCAGTTTTTACAGTCTATGGGTCACTCACAGAGCAGTTGAGAAACAAGGCTTGTTCGAGATGAACTATACTAGCCTGCCACCGGCTGGCGAGAGCAGCCGCTTGCAGTCGGGGCGGAATTAAAATTGGAGACGTCAAGTCAGAGGCTGCGTCCGAAATGGCATACTTCAATGCTATATAGTAGGCAAAAAGCAGTAGGCGAGCGAAAAAGTATGTTTGAATCCTGAGTATTCATAAAAGAGTAGGCGAAAAGTGCACTAATTCTCGCGAGATTCTGACGTACGTATACTTCATTTGCGTTCTAATACGCTTACTTACCTACTATATATTAGGGAAAAGGAGTACGTGAAGAAAGAAGTACGTTGAAAACCGCAGTATTCATAGGCTGCATCCGAAAACTGAAAAATGCTGCCTTCGGAGGCATTCCAAGGCAGGAAGGCATCAAAGCACGTCCGAATCCAAAGTTAGCTTCACTTCCTGTCTCATGAGATACCTTCATCTGATCGATTTTTGAAGGCAGCATAGATGTATCCTTCGCTGCCTTTGGTTTCCCACAATCCTGTGCGTTCCATTCCGTGACGGTTGAGCTAAAAAATAAAGATGAAAAAGTTGCGTTTGGTGGTTAGTTTGTGTGTAAATGTATAGTTCTGATTAACTTTGTGCACTAGGGATGGCGAAATGAAGGCTCATGAAGCTATGAGGCTGTCCTCTTACTGGATCGAGAAAAGATTCGAAGTGTCGGAGTATCAATTACAGTGTCATCTAGTGGATTATAAAATGTACAACAGCCGTATCTGGGATGAAGCTTCACTGGATGAAACACCCACCTCATTGATGTAATTTTACTCTAGTGCACAAATAAAAATCATACGCTGATAATATTTTTTTATGTACCATGATGTGACAATTCATGGTAATATAAGTCAATATTAGTCAATGTATTACAATAAAATACTGTTTAAGTGTGTTGTGGATAGCCACAGTAAGTGAGAAATTGTTGAATTATTATAACTAAAAGACCTGTATATGACATGTAATTGACATAAAACTATCTGTATAATAATAACATTGTTTGTATTATTTCTTCATCTGGTATAGGAGACTATAAATGTAACGTCAAAGAATTCATGGATTATGTGGTTATTAAATGTGCTTGTGTAACTGGGTGAAGAAGAATGTGGGCACAAAAAAGGGCTATTTTACTGGTTTTTATTGAGAAATTAAAAAAAATTGACACTGTTAGGGCATAGCCTATTTCTCCTCTTGCACAATACTTCCCCTGCCTTTGAGAACACTCTCTCACAGGGTACAGAGGAGGCTGGTGTACACAAAAACTGTAGTGCCATCAGATATAGATGGGGAAACACATGTTTTTGTTCTTTCCAGTATTCAAGTGGATCATGGGTTCTTGGTATGTTAGTTTCCTTTAGGTATCGGTCAACCTCTATTACTGCATCAGCTGTGGCATTACAAGTTTTTTTACTCTGGTCCATAGCACTATCTAGCAGGTGCCACAGGTTTCCACCTAAACAATTTGAAGGCAAAAAAAATGTAAATATGACTGCAAATGTAAATGCATCACACACTAATATTTACGTCATGAAATATTCACAAAAGTTTTTTTCCAAAATAATAAAAAATATATACTTGAATTAGTTGCAGCCTGTTGACTTGTTGCCTGTTGAGATGATGTTTCTGTTGAATCAGTGCTTGACGTTGATGGGGTTTGTTCTTGGATTCTGATGATGGTGGCACATTCCCCTTTTAGCCTTCTAACAGCTTCAGTCATTTTATTTTGATGGAGGAACCCAAAGGTTTTAAACCTTGGGTCCAGCAAGGTTGTCATGGTCATTACACTCATAGACTCTATATTCCATATATGTTCTCTCAGGCATTTGGCCAGGTTTTCTGTCAGTTCTTTTGAAATGTCCATGGTCAACCTAATCAATTTCAAATGGCTTGGTCACATTTGCAATATGAACATCAATATGAATGTTTTAACTGCTGGATAAATATACAGATAAATACCTGATTTGTTCTCCCTGTAAAGAATGGTGTATCATTTTCATCAGTGGAATGACTTTTGAACCTGAGACACGTTTCTCCTCAGACAGTTCTACCGTAGCCTGCTGGAACGATGAGAGCACACGGAGGACTTCCTCTATTGCTTCATACTCCTGTGGATGAAGTGGACTGATGTCTGTCCTGAGAGAGGCTAGGGATGCCCCAACAGCTTGCCTTTCTCCATATAGACGTTGAAGCATCTGAAAAGTGCTGTTCCGCCGTGTTTCCACTTCATTGATAAGTTTAAGGGCAGGTCTGCGCATTTCTTGCTGCATCTGGGTCAGCTTCTCTTTGGCAATGGTGCTAGATCTGAAATAGGTGACCATTTTCTTTGCCTTGGTGCGGATGTCACAGAGGGCAGAAACTTGGTCGAACGATTTTTTTAACTATTAAATTAAGTGCATGTGCAATGCAGATTGTGTGCCTCACTTGTAGAATCTTTGCACAAGCAATCATATTTGCTGCAGCATCTGTGACCAGGCATTTGACCTTTGCCTTGATTTCCCACTCCTCCATACAAATTTTTTTTACGAGGGCTATATTTTCAGCTGTGTGATTATCTGGAAACTTCTCTAGCCCCCAACAAGACAGTGGTGAGCTTATCATTCCCATCAATGTAGTGGCAGGTTATGGCCAAGTAAGTGTCCATGTTAAGTGATGTCCACATATCTGAAGTTAAAGACACAGCCTTGACATTTTCCATTTCAGCCTTTGCCTTGATCTGGGCTTCCTCATATGTTGAGTCCAACATTTTCTTCAAGGCCTAAATGTGCAACAATAAAATAAATGTAGAAGAAAGGTTATTAAAATATTATCTTGTTAAATTAGACTCTGAATATTTATACACACACCTGCCTGCTTGGCAGTACATAGGTAGGATCCAGAGCATGGATGAGACCCCTGAAGCCTTTATCCTCCACCAGTGAAAACAGCTGAGAGTCTTTGATGATCATATTCACCAGTGCCTCATCAATCATCTGCTTTCGAGAACCTGAAGGGAAGAGCATTTTTTAATGACAAATACAAGTCATAGGTAAATGTCATAGTGAAATTATGATAATACACCCTGTGTACCTTGTGTGTGTACAGGATTGGCCACGGGCTGTGCAGTCTCATGCAGAGCTCTAAAGTTTCTGAGCATGGAGGAAGTATTATTTGAATACATAAGCTCCTTATCACACACCAAACATCTCACCTGTTACACAAATTAAATAAAGATGTAGATGACCTGGGAAATATTAGTGAATTAGTGATATGTATTATATACCAAAACATACTTTATTGGAAGGTATCAATTCAAAATGTTCCCAAACATGGGATGTTTTCCTTTTTCTTCCAGATGCCATTTCTCATATAACTTACCACCTCACCAAAAAAAAAAAAATGAAAGAGAAAAGAAAAGGAAAACAGAGAGAAAGCTATGACACTAAAGTAACTAATTATTAAACTAATTACTAGCTAACAATCAAAACCAATACCAGAAAGTAAAAAAAAAATAAATAACAAAAATTATATATATATATCTCTCTTCTATATATGTCTTAGAAAGCTTTCAAACTACACTACACTCCTCACAGTCCAACCAACCAACCAGACTGTGCCAGATAGGACCATTAAAGTAAGGTAGGGATTTGACACGCAAATATCGCTGCTGTGATGAGTCAGAAGCGTGTGGATCCATTTGCAGCTTTGATTAGAATGGTCAGACAATACAAGGTCAAACACCGGCAAGGTAGAACAGCAGAGACAAGGCTGAGACAGAGTCGAGTACCAGGCGAGAGATCGGGGCAGGCAGCAAGCAATCAGAGTCCAGGGGAAACAATCCAAGTCGGGGCAGGCAGATAACAATCAGAGTAACGGGAAACAGTCCAATAACAGATGCACAGAAAATCAAACACGGGTATAACGCTCGGAAATGACAGCCAGGGCAAATCAAGACTTCGCAGAGAGTCTGTGTGTGTGAGTGGT